TCTCACCCTTTATATGAATTGTGTCATAAATACATTATGTTAATAGTAAATGGAATTTTTGCATTATTATTGAGATCAGTAAAAAAAAAAAACCGTGAGGTTTATGAACAGCATTTAGGGGACAAAAGGATTTTTCAACTAGAGACTGGCTAATATACAACAGACGTTACCGTCTTATCAACAATGTAGATCGGGGAACTGGAAGACTTGCGCGATGCGAGGCAACGCAATTTTGGGCCAATTATCGGCTTGAGAGGCGGAGGTGGTGGTGGTGGTGGTGCTTGTATCTCAAGCTCCTGCGAACAATCTTAACTAAATCACTAGCACTGTCTGTTTGGCTGCCTGTCTGCCTGCATGAATACTAAAGACTTTTAAATATATTAATCATATCTTGTAGTAATACTAACTTGTATCTATTTCACCAGACCTGAACAAATTTAAAAAACTAATGAAAACAAAAAATAAATTTGTACAAAATATTGTATGTTTACCTCACTATCCAGTACATTGGCAATTACTTCCACAAGCATAGCACCACAGCTTCCTGTTCTATCAGAACCACATGTTTCAACAAGTAATTCTGATTGAATATAATGCACCATCTTTCTAATTAAACTTAAGCTGGCTTTCCTAACGCTAGGCAACATAGATGATTGGAATGTTGCGCAAAACACAGGCAACAGCCTTTTCAGATATACTGGGGCCATTTCAGGATCACCTTTTGGTTCTGTGAATTCCGCTTCTGCATCTGGCTTTCTATGTTCTTGATTTGGCAACATCCATTCTCCAGGCGATTGTAATATAGCTGCAACTTCTCTATGCCCTTCATCTACACGTTCTCTGGCTTTATCCAGTGGTGTTTTTCCATCTTCATCACGTAAATCGGGGTTTGCTCCATGCCTAAGTAATACTTTGGCAATAGCTGGTCTCCCAAAGCAAGCAGCATAATGCAGACTAGACGATCTTTGACCTTTATTAACATCTGCTCCTCTATCACACAAAAATTCAACCATTTCTTGGGTTCCAAAAGCAGATGCCCAATTAAGCAATGTTTGCCCAACATCGTCCATAAAATTAACCCCAATGCCTCCAGAATCTATGGCTTCTATCAATGCATCTGTATCTTTCGATCGAATGCAATCAATTAATTGTCGGTGAGTCTTCTCTCCAGCGCTCTCCGAGCGTCTGTATCGTGGTAACAGAGGACCTGATGAACCTCCGCTTGTATTACGGCCTAATGACGATCTTCCTTCGAATAGTAAAACCAACAATAAATCAACTAGTCTCATAGAATCCAGAGCACATCGTTCATCTCCTTTTAAAGCTTTTTCAATTGCATCTGGTAGTTCGGATCGTAAAAGATCGTGCGTTATAGAAGGTGATCCCCTACAAAGTGTTGACAGAAGACTAATTATAGTAGAAACAGATGCGCAAGAATTTGCTTCTGGAGTAGGAATTGTTGAAGCTGTACTAGAAGGTGGAGGTGTTTTTGGATTTCCAGAAGTAGTTGCTATTGATGTACCAGGCCCTGCTGCATTTGACAGCCTATAAATAAACATTAATACAAGAGTTATAATATATGTAGTTGTTTTGGAATTGCATTGATTATAAATAAATACCTATACAAGAGTTCAGAAACTAATCCATGAAATGCTAATGGAGCAGGATCTATATTTCTTCTTGAAAACCTATCAGCCAATGATGCAAAACAACGAAGTGCTCCATCAGCAACATGTGCATCCTCATGTCTGAGTAATGTTGATAAAGCTTCAACACAATCTGGTAAAGATTTATCTTGAGGTTCAACTTTTCCGCATAAACGGGTAACTACAGCCATTGCTGAATGCAGTGTGTCCCGGTGAACAAGTGCTCCATGCTCTCTAATAAAGCATAAAGCACATGGGAGTCCACCAGCTTCAAGCACAGCACCAGCTTCCCTTGCACAAACCAATTCTAATGCCTAAAATGCGAATGTTTTATTAATATTCCTTATCATATTTTTAATACATTTGTAAATAATCAAATAATGCAATACCTTTATGCACTGCTCAGCTAAATCCCTACTAGTCCTGGAGCCTAATCCAGCTCCAGATAGGCGGCTGCAAATAGCTTTCACAGCACCTTCCACAGCTATTACTCTGCGTATACATTCTGGAGAAAGGTCAAAGTAATATGTAATGGCTCGAGCAGTCACTTCTAAAACGCTATCTGGTGCAAGTTCATCCAAAAAAATTCTACATAATGCAGGAAGAAATGTGCGTGGAGGACAGCTAGAATATGAATAATAATTTTTATTATACTTTATTCAGTTGTGATGATCAACCCTAATGTATTGAACATACCATTCAAAGCATCGATCAACATTATCAGACATGAGCAGTAACATGCATAATTGCTCTAAAGCAATTAACTGCATGTCTCTTTCATCCCCTTGACCCATACTGAGCCACTCCAGTAAAGTTTCAGGATCAACATCAGCCATCTTAATATAAATTATGAAAATGAACGATCAACATTATATTAAAAATATAAATGTCATTATTTTTTGTTACATAAATGAAATGAATGTACAAATTTAATACTTGTATAATTATCAAGAAACAAAATAAAACATGTATTTTTATTAAAAAATTTCTTTGTTCTATAATGGAACTCACCTTGTAAGTTTAATAGCACCAATTGAATGTATTTCAAACTGACAATCTGGAAATAAAGCAGACAAATTGAAAGTGTAATACATATGTATATGAAATACTATTAACATAAAATTAATTTCGCTTAAAAATGCAATATTAATAAATGTCACTGTGATATATCTAAACTATACTATATTTATGTCTATATTAAGAATTACTTTGACAGTATTCTTCCTCCTTTGCCTCTTTATACTTAATGAAATACAACTTTCAGAAAAATTTAAACATGCAAATTGCCTCATAAAGTAATTGTACATCGTAATTTGAAAAATTACAAACACAATAAATAAAGACACGTGGTTATGAATTTAATATCGTAAAATTATATTTGTCGTTGAAGTACAAAGAAAGGTGAAAAAAGTTTGTCATGACGACGGCTGTAAGCGTGACACTATCTTAATAACACTATGTAACCTTCAGAGAATTCAGAGGAGCAGTTGCTGTGCAGGTGCACATAGTGAATTCAATATGCATAAGAAATAATTATCTATAGTTTGGTAGATACGACCTGCTTACACAGAGAAACGTACCGTTGTGCACAGTATTCCATTATTCGGAAGGGGTCAGGTCGCCATCCTTCCAAAGACGTGTCGTTTTCCACTGCGAAAAACAACGTAACAATATCGTCGTGCTTGGTCCGTCAGCGACACGAAAAGTTTATCGCATTAACGGACCGATAAAGCACTCCTCCGCACAAAAAGATCTCACTTTACCCTAGTGTCGTAGTATATATTTCGCCATTTACGCGACGTTCAGTATAGTTCGGTATCACAACTCGCAACTCTCTAAAAGTCGTGTTTTCATAAATGCGCACGTCGTCGAGCGATTGCTGGCAGATTTTCATGGAATCTCACACGATTACAATTATATACATACACATGCAATAATTAACATTTTGCCTAAAGAGGGCGCGCCGTTGTTCTTGTATTGCTAGAGAAACGCGTTCTATTTTATCGACAATTTCTGATGGAACTGCTCTAACGGAAATATAACCGTTTGTTCTTTTGGCGGGAGGACGTAGACGTCGCCACAATCTAACCACGTTTTTTTAATGATTTAAGCACAGACGAGCTATAAAATAGACCTATCACCCAATGCATTTTTTTGTTCAATGTCATGGGGGCTCTAGAGCCCCCTTGCTATTTTCGTGTCACTTCCAACGTTACCGATTCAGTATAGAGTAAATGGGCGAAATTATTAAATAAAATAAATTAATATTAAATGAATTAAAACAAGTTGCTACTTCATATTTCATTTATTTATAATATAGTGCTTTGGTTTGGTTTTTTGTTTTTTGCTTTCGCTGAAATTGATTAAGGTCGGAGGTTGCCCATATGTGTATTAGAATTAGCAAATAACAAATACTAACAATCCCCCTTTTTTTAAAAAGACATTGTATAAAAATAAACTATATATCTGTTGCACATTTTCAATATTGCAACTTACATACGATGTTAACACTTTAAATCTTTTAACGAAACTGAATGTCATTTATTCGTGAAAAATGAATAGAATATATACAAATATATTAATGTAGGATATTATTAAGATGAAAACATTCTCACATTTTATTTATTCAGACAGCAATTTTTTAAACATCATTTAAGTAATATTTTCTAATAAATTGTAAAAATTACTTATTTTTATATTTACCTTGTCTTTCTTTTATAGTTTCTTTTCTTCTGTCTGTAAATCGAGTAGGTAAGTTTTCTAACATACTTTCAATAAAATTATCAAGAACTAATGACCTATTCATTGCTGATACTCGTGCTCTACAAACGGGACATTCTTTTCTCTTTTTGCTCCATGATTTTATACAATATTGACAGAATGTGTGCGTACAATTTAATGTTGTAGCTTTCACAAATAATTCTGAGCATATACTACAAGTTAACTGTTCATCCATTATATCATTTACTTTATTAAGTACACTTTCTTTTCCTTCAGTATCTGCACTGAGCTGAGTGGCAACTGTTAAATCTATTGTGTCTATAATATGAATGTCTGTGGGATCTGCACCTGCACATAAAAAGTACAACTTGTCTGTTATAATTTAATCAAACATTTAATATCTTAATTATGAAAAAATATGTACCATTATTATGTATTGTCCCTACTTTAGCTTCCTGTTCTTTTAAAGCCTTTTCTGTTTCTTTCAATTTTTCTTCTAAAACTGTCTTTTCATTTAACAGCTGAGCCTGTATATTTTTCTCCTCTTTAACTCTATTCTCCATAACACTTTTCCATTTTTCCATTTGCTCTCTCATTTTTATTTCCAACATTTCTTTCTCCTGTTTTGTTACATTCAATGCTTCCTGCAATTTTTGTTTCTCATCATTCCACTTTTTCTCAAATTCAACATGTTCATTTTCCAATTTTTCTAACGGATCACTGTAAATGTTTTGTAAATGTTGCACTTGAACATAACCATCTTCAATTGTACTCTTTAATACTGTAATTTGTTTTTTAAGATTTTCAGTATCTTCTTTTGAAGCACTTTCTTCCTTTACAAGCTGTTCCAATTGTTGTATCAAATTGTCCTGTTCCTTCTGTTTTATTTGTAATTTATCTTTCAAAACTCTTTTTTGACATTCTTCATTTTCTGCAAATGTCCTTTGTTCTATAAGAACATTGTCAAGTACCTGTTCTTCTATCTTAGGCTTTTTAATTTTATACTCATCTTTAGGAACAAGGGTAAACACATACTTAAATTCCTCTAATATACTGAACTGTATGACATCTCCATCACGGAGGTTCTGACTCATACCAGAAGTTAGAGGAACGTCATTAACAAATGTAGCAGAAGAACTTAAGTCTTTAATTGTCCACTCTTCTTGTCCTTCCCATCTTAACATACAATGCCTTCTAGATATCATTGGGTCCAAAAGAATTTCATCATTATCTGTAGCACGACCTATTTTAAACTGTTAACAATTTGTTGTTATTAACAAGAGAGAAAACAAGTTAACGAGACGTTGAATAAGTCGCGAAATTTATATTCATTAATACCTCATTTTTATCAATGTGAATGTCATGAAGATGGCAACCACGTTTATTAACCCTCACTAAAATAGGTTCAACTGGTTTTTCATATGAATCGTCTGGTGTTAATCTCTTTTCCGCTTTCGAACCTTCCATCGTTCAAAATTACTCCCTTACTGTCAAACGAACTAAACAAAAACATTGAATAATACACTGCTATTTTTAATTGTACCCATATTTTTTAACTGAATACCACAAACATAAATGAAAACAATAGACAAAAGAAATAGAAGACACAGTAACCTGTACAAAATTGTAGTCAGAATTTTCTGTCAACAGGCAAATGGAAAATGTTCCGTGAAATAAACACGTGTAAACGACATCTTGCGGTGTATTTTACGTACCACGAAATGAAATATATGTCCGATATTTAAAAATAGTTATAAAGTATACATATTACATAAAAATGTTTCGTTTGAATGAAAACAATGGTAACTTGAGTAGATGTTTCCTTTGGCTTGCAGAAAAAAGTATTGTGCGTTCACGAGATGTTGGCTAGTCAGAATGTTTACGTTCTCACTCTGTTCCCCTCTCATGCTACCATACACACCGTCGTTATTGGCTACAGCCAGTGATAAAGGACGACGACGAGCATATTAAGACAAAGTGAAATAGAACGATGACTTTACAGTATATACATAATGCTTTAAAGGTATTACGTTAGATATCGAATGGAAGAGAAAGCGGAAAAGGTATAGTCTGTACGATTTATTTTAATTCAGATAATATTTATTTGATAGGTATATAATACATTGAATTTGCCTGCACATGTGAGAGAAAACACACTTCTCGGCGAATAATACTTGCTTTTTCTTATATTCGACACCTTCCAATTATTCCTACACTACTGCTACCGAACATATATCAACTCTTTATCCAACCGACTATTTTTTCATATAGTAGTTGGTTAACAAGTCGCACCTGAAATAGCATAGTATCTGTAGATTTGATGTTGTACATAAAAGGGGGTACAGATAAATGTATCGATTCATCAGCATTTGGCAATTAAAACGTATAACGTTAAGAATATTATTAGTTTCCTCTTTTCCACGTCAAAGATGTATCATGAATGTAATACATTCTTGCACAAGCGTGTCACCGCCAAATCAAATTTCAACATTACAAAAATCGTAATTTCAACATTAATAAGTATTACGTTTTTTTTCTTTTTTAAAAGACTGGCAAGTAATCGATTCAATGCAACGAACCACAATAATCGTGGTGTTCGGTAAGCTGCATGTCAATGACAAATAGCTTTCTTCAGTAAGCACAGTGAATGGCTCATCGACGTTCTTTCCTTTTCTTTTTTTTTTTTTTAAGGATAGGATCGATTTGACGGTCGTTGTCTATTTACAGTATTTGCGATAAAGACTAATTAATTTATAAACATCGTTGTTGTTTATGTACAGACGTAATATAAACGCATCATACCTTATAAAACGGACATGTGTAAAAGTGTCGCGAATCAAAGAAACAGTGACCCAATTCGATTCGGTTTTGAAAAACACGTGGCTCGTAGTCGCCAGTAGCCCGTCGTAACATCTACATCGAAAACTGACAAACAATTTTCAAACGAAATTAACGGAACTTCTACGCGCATTTTTTCTATCTAAAGGACATACAGCGATGGTGAGATACGCAGAATGAAAACGTGCTTCGATTTCGCTCTATACTCGTTCCATTCATAAAACAAACGAGAAAAGGAAAATAACAAAATTCTTAATACCTAATATCGCAAAAAATATACTTTGTAATTACAAAATGTATATGCGTATGTATATATTTAAAATGAAATCGGTACAACATATTGGTTAACAAGGGACCTCTTGTTGTGCGATCTCTCGTGTACTGAAGTCCCGGAAAACGAGAAAAAGGGGCAGAGTCAAGTTGCAAAGATACAGAAGTCAGCTTGACATAGTCTTAGTAACATAAAGAGTCATAATTTGAAAACACCGCAACACCATAAAAAACACCGTCTCTAATCTAAACGCTTAAATAAAAAGAAAGAGAAGAGAGAAAAAAAAAACGAAAAAGAAAAACTAACTTCTTTATCCTCAACTGATACCGCCGATAATACAATCGTCGCAAAATACATCGAGCAAACTGTCTTCGTAGTTTTGGTAAAAGATACACTTCTCATCTCGTCGCGATCGAACGCATAAGTTACAGGTACAGAAGTAATAGAAAAAGTGCGCGTACAACGTTTGAAAGAACCGTGCGAACGTTCATTTTTCGCCTGAGGATAACGCCATTATCCTTGAAAAATAGTTGATGTAATCGGCCACGAAACATCGTGGAATTAGTGAACGAACATCGTTCCGATCGAAGTACGTAGCCCTTCGCAATTGAAATATTAGGTGAAAAGCGAGAGGACCGCGAGAACGTTACTTGATCGGTTTACCCCAAGCAAATTGAATCGGCAACGGAGGAATATCGCTACTCGTGGACGATTCGTCCTCGCTACTTGTGGCAGATGTCTCCTCTGAAATCATAGCTTCGCCACCGGCCTCTTGAGGCCTCTGGCCGGCCCCGCAATCTTCAGCAGCCGCGGCAGCGGCAGCAGCAGCAGCAACAGCAACGGCTACTGCCGAATTTGAGGTTACAGCTGTGACCGAAGAAGAAGACGACGAAGAGGTAGACGAAGCCGAAGAAGAGGGGTCGCTTCTAGGTCTTCGTCGTGCAATCGGCGTAGAATTAAACGTAGGCGACCAAGCGGATTCCTCTACACGCGCGGAATCCGTGACAGAAATACTTTTCGATCTTGCTCTCATATCGACGGAAGACCTTCTAGGTGTTAGCCTGAGCGATCCTTGCCTCGATACCGTAGCCGATGTCTCAGATCTAGCCATTTTCGATGGCGTTGCCAAATGCGACGTGTCCGTACCGCTCTTTGAAAATTCATCGTCTATTTCCAATGTCCACGATACCGAATCGCCCTTCTCCACCATAAATTTCACCATGGATGAAGCCTGAGGACCGTTCTTGTCGGGTGAGAGTGTGTGTTCGACGTTCTCAGGGCCTAATGAACGCGATAGCCTAGGCGTCAAATTCGCAAGAACGGTCACCACTTCGTTTTTTTGACGCAACCTCCATTGAAGTTCCTCGTTTCGCTGCGCCAAACGTTTGTTCTGCTTGGAGATCTGATGAATCGATTCGTGCAGTACCTCGTTATCGTGAGATATTTGCCTCTCGAATGCTTCTTTGCACTGAAGCTGCGCCTTCAGATCCTCGCATCTGGCCTCAAGTGTGTCCACGCGTTGTTGTAAAGCCTCTTTGTCCTCGATCTCTCGCCTGATATTATCAAGATCTGATCTCAACGTGGCGTTCTCCTGGCTCCTGATCTCTAGCACCGATCTTAACGATTCAACTTCCGCGGTTAGCGCGGCTCCTTGATCGTGCACCACGGATCTCCTCTTGAATTCCGACTCTTTTCGCAATAATTCAGCTTCCTGTTCTGCGCGTAATTTCACGATCGCAGCACGATGCTCCTTCGCGGCCTCGTTCAGGGAATCCTTCAGCCTCACTTCGCATCTGCGCCTCTCCTCTTGCAGGGCTGCCTCCAACGCGGCGATCTGTTCTGCTTGCTGAGCTTCCACTGTGTGACAAAAATTCAGGTGGAATTTTTCTTTTAGAAACACGCTCGTTTGATTGACGTCATCGAGATAGATTGAAAAACGGAAGAAAAACAAAGTCCCGAAGTCGAGTGAACAGATTAAGTCCGTCGAACGTGCCAACCTATAATTAACTTCGATGAAACGTTACGTGGGCACTAAATTGAGCGTTTGTGAAGTTCGTGCGGTGGTGTGTCCACTTTTCAAAATTCTCTCTCTCTCTCTCTCTCTTACTCTCTTACTCTCTTTCTGTGTCTGACTCGGTGAATTATTTAGCACGAGCCGAGGTAAGCGTAGGCACCGCCACACATCAACGTCGCAGATTTTAATTAACAATTGCTCCAGTTTAAAGCTCTGCTATTCGCCACGACATCGGGACCATTATGCTCGTTACCAGGAGAATATCATTATCATATGATACATTGTACCAGGCACAGAATATAAAATATACCATGACGTGTTCATGTACTACTTAATCGTGTAAAATACAATTAACCGATTAAAGGGAAATTTTACTCTGATTATAATGATAATCACACCAGACTAGAACTATAATATATATATATATACACACATATATTACGTCACATTGGTTTTCCACTGTAACGAGCCAGGAAACTAAAAGAAACACAAATAATTCTTGGCAAGACTTACGATCTTCACCAAGCTGGTCCAAGGCTCTCCGATTATTCTCCCTCTCTGATTCTAGTCTCTCTTCAATGCCGAGGTTTCTAGTTCTCAACTCTTCGATCTCCGTGCACGACGACAGCCATTCTGTCTTCATATTCTCGCATTCTTTCTTTAATTTTGGGGTAGAAAAGGCGTCCAACTAAACATTTCAACATCCAAACATATATCGAATAATATTGTCACAAGTGAGAAAATATGTTTTTTTTTTTTTTTGTTTTTTTTAAACATACCTCATAGGCCAGATATTGTACAGTGATAGAAAGGGCTTCTATAACTTGTTCCGCCCGTTTCACGCGGAGCGCATCGTAAGGTATGTCGGTTTGTGCGGCCTGATCCCGCGTCTCTAAAGACGCCCTTGTCACCACATAGCTATTACTGTGCTCCTTGGTTTCGCGATCTGCAACCAATGCCACCGGTCCCATCACCATCACGACTCCTCTCTTTTACACCACAACCGGGGAGACAGTGAAATTCAATTAGCTTCTTCGTGTCAACATGACCAACGCCCCCTTCGACAAACACGTTCTTATAATTTCTTCGACAGAGCTAATCGTACGATTGAATTTCCCATCGCTCCTTAAGTAATCTCATTGTTATCGTGATAAGTAACCAATTCGAATAGTGTCATTCTTCCCGGACGTCTCTACAATTATACGTGTTCAATCCATGTGTGACACGAAAGGTTTCGGTGAAACGTGGAGAACCTATCCGAACGTCGTATGAAATTGACTACACCTAGTCATCTTATACGGGATGGTTTTAGATGGCAGATTGAAGAAAGTTGCACGGAAAACTCGTTTCAAGAGAGAAAACCGTGTGTATTCCAGTCTTGGAAAGTCGAGCTACCTGTTTTTCAGGATATTTCAGTTATCACCGACACCGACCGACAGATCACCAACGTTAAGAGCCAAACGCAGAGGGAGAGACACCCAGGCGAGGAGAGGTTCACATAGGAGAGAAAACGCAATTATCACGGTGACACGCGGAGAAAATTCACGTACGCGCACACACACGTACACAGAGAGCGATAGCTCATTAAATCGTAACGAATAATTTGGACTGGCTACGTCACTAAACCCAAAGCTTCATCCTCCCATTATTACCGATGTGTACGTGAAAGCACGCGGATACGTCCGCGTGCCCCGCCGCGCACCAACGATTCTTTTCTTCCACCACCGTGATCCTTTTCAGCACCTTGGACCAGGCTAAAAAAAAAAAGCGCACCAGCCGGTGGATCGATCGATTTGAAATTCGAACAGTCGGGCCAGCCAACGGTTGGAAAATACGTTCAAGAGCACACCGGCCAGTCAATGAAGACGCACTGGGTTAAGGTCGACCGTGTACGACAACAGTGCCGTGAACACGGAAAATCCAACGAGTTGATGGTGATTTAACGAGCACCTTAACGGGAACATGGATAATCGTCTATTCCATGGTCCCTCGAAGCGGATTAAATGATTTTCGGTAGAAGGATTACACAAAATATCCAAATACTCGTCGTTTCCACTTTATACACACAAACGTTCATACAGAGACTTGAGTGACAATGGTAACAATCGACGATTGTTAGATTTTTCTATTCGAAGAACAATTCTTTTCTATCGTATCCGTCACACTTTTTCACACGTTTCAACGTGTAATATTAATATTCTTGATGTAACAATACGACGAATATATGTTGTAATATCAACGCGACGAATTAATACAGAGTTTCACAGTTTCTCCACCGGTGATCGAAGAATGTACGAGAGGAGGATGGTTCACGTTGCGACCAATTGAATAACAATAATGGAGCAACAGAGATGAGAGAGAAGCCTAATCGGGATCGTCATTTGTAACGATTTGCTGGCCAAGTCCGCACTTCGACTGAATTAGCACGAGCCACAGGCTGCCTCGCGGAGCGATATATCCCTCCTTCTTCCTTGTCGACCACTCCTACCACCTTGAAATGAAGTGCAACCTCGAAGAATACGAAGACGATGGACACGCGGAAAGCTGCTGGACGCGCGCTCTACGCATTTCATAGAAACGACTCGTACATATGACCTACAATGCCTGCATAAGTTTCCATAATTACTTTAATATCTCTCGCTGGTCTTTTTTCATTTGAAAGAAAGAAAGAAAGAAAAAAAGGAATATCGTCTGTACGAAACTGAACTTTACTACTTAGAGAATTAACATACAGTTGAAGAATACTGGTTGCTTAAGTACCTATTACTTTATTTATCATTCAATTGTCCAAGTTTATGGTTCATGAAAACGAGGACGATTTAAAATTCTGTTTCGGTAGAATTGCTCGTTCTAGAAAAAGGAAAAAGAAGAGGAGAATGATGATGATGATGATGATGATGATGATGATGATGATGATGATGATGATGATGATGATGATGATGATGATGATGATGATGATGATGATGATGATGATGATGATGATGATGATGATGATGATGATGATGATGATGATGATGATGATGATTATGATGATGGTGAAGAAAACGTGAACGTAGCGATGAATTATTGCGAAACGCCGTGCTCCGAATAAATTCGCTTTTCCGTTTCGAATTGGTTACTCTTTATATGGTTTGTACGTAGCCGTATTCGTACGAATACGATAGTACGTGTCCATGGATATAGCGATTCGAAGATAATGATCCGGATGATCGACGATCGATAGCCCTCTTCCGCCTCTTCGGCTTTGCGAACAATTGTTAATTCTCCTCCAATATCTGTTTCGTCACATCGTACACGTGAACGTAATGATAGATAGGAATTGATAATTTCGCCAATACCCTTGGGTCATTCCTTTCCAAGTTTCCACCGTTCACTCTTATTTTCCACTAACGAGCAGCTGATAAAAGAAAAAAAAAAGAAGAAAAAAAAAGAGCGTATAAAATTAGAAGAAACTTCTCGAAATGCCCTTGAGGAATGAAAGAATTCAACGAAAGATCCTAACCATTTCCCTAATTTGCCCGTCCGTCAATGTATCTAATACGCGAGATGCTTCATGAATGATTAATAGAACAATAAATTACAAGGAAAGGAAGTACAAGACCGTGACTCGTAGAAACTCGACCCGTAATTCGGTTTTTTTTCTAGGACGTGGACGGTCATTGATAATAATCTTTATTTCAGTAATTTGTTCTAAATAAACCGCGTATATACACGTACATACATACATACATGGCAACCAGTGAAAAGAGATTGATAACGATGGAAATAATATTATTCGTTAATTAATGGAATTGTTTGGAAATGGTAATGAAACGTATAAAACTACTGGCATTAATTTCCCACTAATTTACAACACACACACATACACACGAGTTCGATATGAAATTCATCTTTGAAAGTAAAAAAAATGCAAATCCATCGAAATCATGTCAAAAACCACCAGCTTAAAAGGATTACTTTCGCTCGCTACATATACATACGTACACTCTCCCAATTCATTCTACTCCGTGATACCTGTTCTCGACGAAGACGTTTTACCCCCTCGGGGGTTTTTCAGCACTTCAGAAGACAGAGGGAAACAGGGTTTATAGTAATAGAGGACCAGTGAAAGCTAGGAGACTTTCTTCGAAACGACCAGCAACACGCAGAGGGATACGCACGTGTGCGTCCTCGTGCATGCGGAGAAACGTACGATTGTAACGTACACACCGCAAAATGACCGTGGGACTTTTTTAGAAACTAGCTCCTGCCGGAGCCAGCGCGGTCAATGAATTAGAAAGCACGACCTGCTGATGTTTCCTCCTCGTTCGGTGTTATCTTTTTCAGGCGGACGGAACAAGCCACTGGGAACAACGCTTCCATTCTACTACGAGGATTAATAAGTTAGAAAGAGCAGGTTGTTGCGAAACAATTAAAGCAAAAATTCATCGGAACAACTCGTAACACTCGAGACAGTGTAGACAGGTGTAAAAAACGATGTTTTTAAATATTATTTTTAGCAGAGTGCGAAAATGTGTACCTTTTGTCGATATCGTTGAACTGTGTTGCTTCACTGGGACAGTGGTTGTTAATCTCCTGGTTATTGTCGGCTTTCGCGTCGCAGACGGGCTCTTCTCTGGAAACAGAATTCGCTAAGTTAACGAGAGCATGTCACACACTAACCGGTAGTCGCTTAAATGATGTATTATCGAGTTTGCAAGTACCGTACGCTGCGAACCGTTTTACCACGTCCGCGCCAGATAGTAGTAACGTGTAACTACGTACGTACGTATACAAAAGCGCACAGGAAACTATCCGTATTTACCCGTAGAAAAAACGATACGCTTCCGTGTATGTACAATGTCCTCTTACGATATTACATACAATCTTAAAACGATATTCTACGATATTTGAAATAACGTTTGGATATTTACGGTAGTAAAAGATAACCATGGCTACGGTAATCTTCCGGTAGGCGTACAATCTATGCACCGTCCGCTTTTAATTCGCAACAACCTAGTAGCCTCTGAACGTAATCACAGTCTGCGATCGCAGACCACATTCGGAAGTCGCGTCGCCGGGACTAACAATGCCGATCACGAAGCTCTGTTATATAGAACAAGTAGTTCACAAATCACGTTCCCCAAGCTGGAATATTTCAGAGCGGCGTGTGCACGAGACTCCGTCGCTGCTAACAGACTGAGTGGCCGGCCGTTGTTTTCCCGTTTAAAGTTGACGAACGACTGCCCACAACATCCAATAGCATTCGACACGGTCGGGGGTTTAAATCGCTTGAACGTCGGACTACGGCAAGGGGTGCATACCGTTACAAGATTCTGACCTGACTCGCAAACAAAGCCGACGTCGTAGTGGCCTTACACCCACGGCTAATTGTCGCGACACTACCACAACGTCGTTTGAATAAATTTCAAATACAATGTTCGGTGAATACCGTCGTAGGTATAGAAGAAATCTCGTTAATTTACAATATTCCGGGGAACAATAGATCTGTAACGGATACACCAATTTCGAACGTACGCATTCCTTTCCTCGTTTTACAATACGGAGTAGGTAATTAAGATAAGAATGTCTATAAACGGTGTCGAAAGTTATCTTCGCAGGAATTCGTGGGAATGTTAAGAAAATTACAGATAAGACGCACAATCTACGCCGATAGGTTGAAATAAATAAGTATCACCGGCGAATATTTTCAATGTTACATCTCGATAAAAAAAATACAGAGACCTGATAAACGAATTCATCGACATACACAACGTGAATTCATCGAATTCATACACAACGTGTCTCGTTTATACACGGTTCGCTCATTGACGCAAATGAGTACAGAGTGTTGCATAGGGGCAGGCGTTCAAAGAAAAAGCGTTCTCCTCCCGTGGACGTAGTAGGTCTCCAACCGGAAACACGCAGCGGTGCCCTCGACCTTTCGTTTCCTCCGTTCGTTCAATCAACGAATAACAGACATTTATATATACATATAGACATATACAGATATAGACCGCAGGGTGACGATATGTGCAAACTCTCGTCGGGATAATTTAGATCGCGCGAACCGGACACCCTCCGGCCACTCACCGAGATTGATGGGCGAAATTTCTACGCAGTTCTTCTTCGCGTCGAAACTATTCACACGATTCTGTTGATTACTCCGACCGTTTGCCACCAGTCTTCTTGGCGGGTTTACCGATGTTGGTGATCTCTCTGGAAAAAAAATGGGAGAAAAAAAATAGCAGAAAGTGAATGATATCCCAATTAAGAATGTCGCAACCGACGGGGAAATTAACGATCAGTTTCATTCGCGTTTCTCACTAACCAGCCCCCCACCCTCCGTCTATTTATAACAGAGAATTACGAAAACAAGCGTGCATTTTCATAACACGTAGGCATTACGTGTACGGTAGAGAGATAGTTCATCGACCGTGGAATTTCATTTCTCTCGACGTAGTCGTAGTATAGTGTTTTACTTTAATAATATTTCGCGCATCATCGGAATTCATGCTTGACGAGAGGCCGGGTGTATAGCGGGACGTATGTAGGTACTCGAAGAGCTAAGTTTGAACCATGCTCTGTCGATTAAACCAACGAGGAAAAGAAAACGTTTATTATGTACACCAGGCTGCACGTAGGCATACGAGGCTTCTGCATATAACGGCCCTGCACAACGAGCGCCTCGTTCGTCTGCATAATATTTCGAAGGCAAAGCTGCACATGAAAGAAAACCAGCCGTGGAAAATATTCAGGACACGCGGTTACGATAATCGATATATATATACGCGTTAAATAATAATTCAACACCTGTCTACTGCTTTTAATTTATTATAATTGTAAATCGAACCGGTGATAATAACGAGGTGACATATATTTCTTTTTTTTTTTTGCCGCGTAAATACGCGTGTCTCGTAAATCATTACGATTCAATTGGACGAATCGAAGAAACACGGTAAATCGATACTATACACGCAGAGCTTGTTTGTTAATGTAGAAGAAAAAAAAATTAAGATATCATATTTTTACACGATACTCGACAAGCTTATGAAATATCATAAATCGCGTTCACGTTTCGCTAGGTTACGAATATGATATAACGTACTACCACGACGAGCTACTTCTACAAGAGATTCCTCGAACAACAATGATCGATGGCCGGGCGTAAAAGAGAAATCCCGTGACAAGGTGTGTAAGTAGGGTACCTTTGATCCTTCACCGTTAACGTTTTAGACTCGCTCAAGAGAAACCGTTCGACCCATCTACCTTTTCGAATGCCTATGCAACGGAGAGGCCGACCGGTCGCTGCGTGTATATTCGCGTCGTTCCAACTTTCTAGAGTTAAATGAAGCACAAAAAAAAAGAACAGACAGGTGGTTTTAGATAGTCACCTCTACTATGCATCTTACTTTTTTTTTTTTTTTGGCTATTGTGAAACGAGATTAACGAAGATTAACGAAGAGGAGAAGCTTATTGGTTAATACACGTTTCCATGTGTTCTTTTACGAGCGTCGAATATATAGTGTTTTTAGAGGGGGGTGTTAAACACGGTCGCCCCCTCTCGTATTTATACGACCGTACCTCGCTTGAAACTGCCCAGTCGCATTTTCGTCGAATCCCTGACGAAATCCGTCCGTAAAGCTGGTCTACCCTTCGATCCTTGCTGCCCCATTTTGAAAATCCTCTCTTGTTCTTCCAGGAGTGTCGCTTTTCACAGCCGTACTTCCATCCTCAATAAAATGATTCTTCGAAAACACGCACGGGCCACGTTCACGCGCGTCTTCACCCCGTCGTGTCTTTCGAGCCTACTGAGAGGCTTGTTAACCAGCAGCAGGTCGACACCGTATAACACTGGCATCGTACACGAGACCTACGATTACCCGGCATCTTTCTTCAAATATTAAATCCCAGCCAATTTACTTTAACGAACGTAGTACTTTAAATACCGTCCCCCCTTTCTTTCTCTCTCTCGCTCTTTCTCACGATCGACACAGCAATTAGTTTGCAATTCACCCACAACAGCGTCACTGTTTAACCCCACCAATCGTATTGTTACTTTCGAAACTCGCCGTTATTTTTCACGTTCCCTTGGTTACAATTCGAGCGGTGATATCGATAGGAACGATTAATCGATCGATCGACCTATATGATCGTCGACTGTCCGTTCTCTCCACGACCTGAATCCTAGAGGAGTACGACGACGACGTGTGTCTTTCACTGGCACAATCGACGACGTCCTCAGCCATGTGGGTTTAACATCTGACTCTGGTGGTGATTGCGTAAGTGGTAGATCAGAGACCGGATTGTGCGTATACCGGTGGTCGTCGGCCTTGGGAACGCACGTGGTCGCTGGGTGCACCTGTCTAAAAGGGTGGGGACACGGTAGAACCACCGGCGACGAGAGACAGAAAGCGAGCGAGCGAGAGAGAGAGAGAGAGAAAGAGGGAGAACGAAGGACGTGTGCACACACGGGTGTAGAAGGTGGCCAGTGTTGAAGAAAGGCAATGCCGGAAATAAACCACTAGTGCCGTTGACCCGTAAGCTCGTCGTGAAGCTTGCTAATGTACACGAAGAAAAGTTAAACCAATGTTCTCTTCTTGATTGCCAATCTCTTCTCTCCCTCTATTCTTTGCCTAGGTTTGGTCCAAGTGTGTGGCACACACAGAGTAACGTTCGTCAAAGATTCCTTCCGTAACGGTATCTTGGGAAACTTTCATTCGAATGTCCCAGAGAGGGGACGGTAAAATCCAGTCTCGAGGCATTCCATGTTGCGGTTCAGATTCCTTCGTCGATCGAAACGAATGTGTAATAACATATTGTAGGCGTATCGTGGCAGGGTTGCTCGAGTTCTTTCCCAGCCTCGCTAGATTCTTCCTAACCCCAACCGAGAGGTTCACTTCGATCGGTATTCTCTCTCTCTCCACCTCACCCCAGTATCGGGTGCGAAAAGCGACTCCGTGACACCAAGCAGGAAAATCAGGTCACGTCGAACACGTTCACGGATACAGTTGACACACGGTGGCTGCTGCTGCTGCTATATGTTAACCTCGAAGGGGAAGTGTGGTATCCGACTTGATACGATTGAACGATATTTCTATAAGAAATTGTAGAATGAATTTCGTTGATATTCTCGAACGGTGGTACGGTCACAGCTACGATGCACTTTGCACCGTCACCTTGCGGCATTCACTGACGACGATGCACCGGCTGTTCGGCTTGTCCGTTCGCTCCTGTCCTTTTTGTCGCACACACGTACTCTCTCGACGTGTACCCTCGATAAAACCGCTGACCCGAATGGGGTAGAGTAAGAGATCGTGAGAAAGGGAGATGAGATAGAGAGAGAGAATGAGAGAGAGGAGAGAAGGAACGAGTGAGTGAAAGAGAAAAAGGAGAAAGAAGGGTAGAAAGGAACACAGTGCATACAACGAGTAATAGGGAGGAAGAGCAAGAAAGAAGAAAGGCCGGAAATGCAACACGCGTGCATAAACAGCGTCCGAGCGAGCACGAGGTCCGCCGAGGACTGCCGACTGGATGCTGCTGGTGCTACGACTGCGGCTGCTCAGTGGCCGCCTCGATCCAATGGAAACGAAACTGTCCAGTGGCGCCGGAAGAGGGGCACCGGCGCCCTCGCTCTTTTTCCCATCTAAGTTTCGCGCGCCGCGACAACTCGGGTCGATACAATACACCCTCCCCCTTAGCCCACCCTGTTTTTACGACCCATCGTCCCATCTTAAACCCCCTCTGCGGAACGAACCAGCCACCCACGTATATACGTCTGCTCTGGAACGTCTCGGCGACGAATCGGACACGCGTGCACGCTTAAACAGTGAAATTGATCCGAGCTGACTCGACCTTCAAGGATACGACAGTTTTCTTTTGAGCAAAAGCCAATAGGGAGAGGGACATATATTAGGAAATCTACTTTGTCTACAGGGCGTTTCAAGGTTTATCGACGACATTCTGGAGATGTGACCGATAAGTGTAAATAAGGAAAAATGTATGAATACAATGGATAAATAGGAAAACGAAGAAAGTTCGCAGGAGTCAACAATGCACTTACTGAATTAACACATGATAAACAAGACCTGATTACATTTTTTTCTCATTTGTTCTACGTGAAACATACTGACACAGTTTTGATCCGTTAATTTTAAATCACTCTGTACGCGTTTGAAAGTGACTATAATTGTTGGAATTTTAAATGATTTTTAAACCTTCGATAGGTGTTCTTTATTGTATTAGCAACGACTTTTTTCACGTTGCATTGCGACAGGGAGTGATTGAATATTTGTCAGTCGGTATTATCGATAACTTTTTGTTAGGAAGATACGTACATGCGCAATACAGTTTTTCAAACAGAAAATTACGTCTCAGATTCTACGTCTCATATCAACCAAAAAAAAAAAAAAAAACGGAGTTATTAAAATCTGTTTAAACATCATGCAAAACGGTTAACTCGGGTTTTCTTGACCTTTGCGGTTCCGAGCTTTTTTTTCATTTTTTGCAAAACGCAAGGTATGCGGTCAAACATAATTCGATATCGTAAAATCAGTCGGCGTCGTATTTATTCAAGCTCCACTGTTCTCCACAAGGTCTTCCCGTTCCCGGTTCAAACTACTACCATTCCGCAACCTACCTCTCCATAAATCGTATATCAAGATACATAAATGAACATAAACGGACGGTCACAAATCAAATATTACACACTGTTACGATTAAAATTAAATTAGAACACACGTTGCGTGGGTTTTGTTAATCATCCAAGCGTTGTTAACAACTACGGGATACGTTGTATTTTAATTTAATTTCTAATCATCTAAATACGAAGGTTAATTCGACTTACTTGGCGCATCTTTGCTAGGTCCAGTGCTGAGATCACTCAAGGAGCTACGAACGGAGCTTCTGGCAGTTTCTTGTACCGGAGATTTCAGTTCTTGTCGGCCACGTATTCTCCTGATAATTCGGAACTTCTTAGCATTGCTACGTAAATAAATGTTTTTAGGTAACAAAGATGTCAACGATCAAACGGTCTCACCTCTTATCCTTATTACTATTATTGTTCGCATCGCCAATTTTCTTTTGGGTTGACCCCGGAGTAGATGATTGACCAATACTCTGCAATACCCTTGACTTCACTTCCTTCCTCACCGACCTAGTCCTCTGCTCGTTCTTGCCAGCCTCAATTTTACTCATAACAGCGTCCCAGCGTCCGCCCTTTCTGGGTGATCTCTGAGAACGTCGAGCTTCTTTCTCCGCTTCGTCCTTCGGGCCAGACTCGATCATTGCCTTGATTTTCGAGACTACGTTCCTCTTAGGCATCTTGTATTTTTTCAACGGAACCGAATCAGCTTTGTTCTGCGTCTTCGACCTCATACCGTCGTTGTTCCTCTCCACCTCGATTACCGTGACCTGGGCGGGGCTTAACGTTACGTTGGAATCGGCTGATCCATCCAGAGTATTTACAGGGGCCTAAATAAATATCGATTAAGCGAGCTTCTTTAAACAAGCCTGGGTAAATATGTGTCCACTGTGATTGATAAGTATCAGGACCTCCGTTACGTTCGTACAGAACGTATTACACCATTGAAATCACATTTCTTCGCAAATGCGCTTCAGTCCCGATACTTACGAATACGAGTGTAGAACGAACGAAGGAAAATAATTTACTTGCCTGTAAATAATCCATGATAACCTGGGTAACGTCCGGTTTAATCGGTGTAGGTTGGCTTCTCTGCGAAACTTCCGTGTCAATGGTATCCGGAGTACGATCCTCGTTTTCCTCAGCTGCCTCTTCAGGAGCATGAAGTTCGTCCTGCCTTTTATCGAGGTCCGAGTAGATTCCGCTCGAATCCATCTCTTCGCCGGTGAAACTCGGACATCTTCGACCGCCAGGTGCGCAGAACAGGGTACCGTCGATCACCTGAGCTTTCCTATCACCGCGTACGATCTCTTCGTACGCGTCAGCATCGCTTTCCGTAAAGAAATCCGAATCCGTCATCGGATCTTGCCTGCAAGGTGCTGGAAGATTCGGCGGTGGTACAATAGACGGTGGGTCAGCCCCGCGGCTTGCTGGCCTCGAGTTTTCACCGTCACCTTGATAACCAGCCTCGAGACTCGTGATACTCGTCACCGACGTAACAAAACTGATAGGAACAGTGCCTCTGACGGGTTCCGCGGGTTTTGGATCCAACGGAAGCTCCTCCGGAGACGGTGTTCTCTCGCTGGATGCCTCCTCTGTCGGTTCCACGTCCACAGACGGTCTCGACGCGGATGCCCGCGTTAACGCCAACCTCGAACCCGCTGATCCTGTAAGATTTTCGCAGGATGGTGTCCTGGAGCACTCTAACGCGACCGTGAAGTCGGTCATCTGGTCCGGAGTCAATATACCGAGACTTTCGTCGTGTTCAAACGAATTCTGTTTATTGAGCATCAAATAATGCGGCGTCGCGCTCACTGAGTTCTCATTATAATTGCCCAGGGATGCTTCCAGGAGGCAGCTTTCGCCGGTATCCTCAATCATATTCAACTGAGAATTCTCGAGCAAACTGTTCAATATGCAAACAGAACAATACCACGTTCAGACGTCGCGCACATCTTTTCCTCAAATTCGGGGAAATCCTTCTGTAAATGACGCCGATGATTCAAACATGTTTCAGGTAGTTTTTACACCAATACCTGACCTCTCACACAGGACAGTCGCGTATTTGTATTTAAAATATACTCCTCTATTATTCGACAATTTGTATACCTTTGCAAGTACACACTTGGATTCATGTTAAATTACACGTCGTAAAAGACGTTCCAGGATTTCCAGCCGGTCAAAGATGGTTTATACGCGTTAACACCGAGCGTAAATATTTGTCACCTCTTACCCAGCCAACGTCGTCATTTACAGAATTTCAGTTCCCCAAATACAAAACAAACCGCGTGGTCGAGTGCGACGAGTGTAATAAAAACAGGTAAACGGTTTCTACCTAAAAAAGCTGCTCTTCTCTTCGGCAAAATGAACCAACTGTTGCACGTCATCTTTGTCCCACACGGGTGATATCGTGAACGTCTTATGTCCCGAATCTATTTTAATTCATAAAACAGAAAAAAATACGTCACAAGGTTAATCCTCTCTTTCTCTCTCTCTCTCTCTCATTCACAGAAACCTGTGTATATTGTATTGTAGAATACGATACAGGTTTACACGCGTGCAAACTACGGATTTAGCCGTCACCTTCGATTGATGGTGTAGACGTAGCTCGTGCCAAGCACTTTGTTTTAGGAGTGGTGGACTCGTCCTCCGCATCGACGAACTGTAAACATCCCGAGAGCACCAATGAACGTCGGTGTCCTGGTAGAAGTGTCGACGTGCCGAGTACTCTCGATTTCGGGAAGAAAGACGGTCGTGCAGCGCGTGGAACTGGTATCCGACTCTCCCCTACGTTCTGCAATCACAATAAGTCGCATAATGATAAATAACGCGTGCACACACACGCACGCACAGAAAAAGTGGGTTACTGGTAAAACTATTTCACGCATCCGTTTAACACCAGTCGACATACATTCCGCCGCGAGAGTTAACAAATTCCTTCATTTATTACAAATTCCTTCATTAGCTGGATCGTTCCATAGCTTGAAGCTCCGGGGCTAACTGAATATAGACAAGGCTTAATCGCATTGTAAGAATCGAATTAAATCACTGTAACGATAGGGAGAGACTTCGCGGCAAATGACGTATGCCCCTCTGTTTCACGTCAAAGATTAAGACGAGAGAAAGAGAGAGGTATCGCGTCAATTGAATTATCGAAACAACGCCAGAATTAAAAAAAAAAAGGAGACGATACGTCGGTGATTTTTCAAGGTCAAACGAAACGCTTGACCCGCAGAGATTAACGCGAAGAGTCCGTTGCCCTTGGCCCATCTCCAAATAAAACCCTTCGTCCCCCGAGGTGAATCAGAAGTGTCTCTCAGGCAGTTGGCTAATTTAATTTTAGCCCTAAGTCCACCACCGTTATACTTCTCTCTCGTATCTTACAACGGGTTACCTTTACCCAATGATACCACCACCTCCTCCTCCTCCTCCTCCTCCTCCTCCTCTTCTTCTTCTTCCTAACCATACGCGTAAGAACACGCGTAACACGCACGCCACTCGCTCACTCTCTCCCTTCTAGCCTGTTTAACCAGCAACGAAAACATTTGCTCGGTGGTCGATTAGCTTTATCATTCGACCGCGAATCCGCTCGTGTAATTTGTCTGCGTTCTATCTACGCCGTACAAACATTCAGCCAACAGTTTAACCTCTTATCGCGCGAAACATTTTTTCAATACCCAGAGGAGACACCACCACCGTCGTGCGCACATTTTTCGCGTATTTACACCAAGTGTTTCGTAGTAGAACCGACAATGTAACCGAGTTCCACTGTAGTAGGTTAAGAGACGCGTGTACGCGAGGTTTGTGTGACCGAGTCTACGAAGAGCTACATTAGACCACGTTACTAATAATAGTATTACCGATGCTCTCTGCGCAAAGCGGCGAACCTGCTAGTAGCAAGAGACTAATAGAGTGCGTTCACCGGCGATCCTGTTGGTTGAACGACGTCGTCGGCTGAGAACTGGGTTACATCGCGCGCGTATTTCCTACAAACCGCTAACATCGTCGCCTCCACGCGAACCCTGTTACACACGCAAATTCCCCTCTCCAGACAGACATAGTTTTTCTTCTTATTTTCTATGTTACAACGTTGACATCGATCTCGGTAGAACCAGATGGTATTTCGTTCGACCAACTTTTTACACGGAAACGATCAATTATTCAAGAACCGTGTGCGTTATCACATTATGGATACAGTGACCTCTCTCTCTCTCTCTCTCTCTCTTTTCTGCTTATCCTACACTGTCGATGACATACACGTTTCTTCGTTTTTTTCTCTTCTTCTCGGTTGTAGCAACAACATCGATAATTACGCTTAGAGCGGTAGGTTGCCAGGATTGAATCGATATTCGCGAAACGCGCTCGTTATCGATCTAGGAAAATGTCACGGTCACAGAGGTCGAACGAACGAGAGATAACTGGGCAAGTAGAGAGAAGAGTAACGTACGATATGTTAATATTCACGTTCTTTGTAAGATCTCGCCGACAGAAGGTAAACGTGGCGAGAATTGAAATTGAAAGACGCGTGTTACGTGTGTGTATACACGGCGTTGACAGTGTCCGATGATGAGTAGCAGAGGCCAGGCCTAAAGAGCATAACTTTATTCCATTAAGCCTTAATTCGTGCCAATTCGAGCCCGCCTACCCGGTCGTTATCTCTTGCCACGCGAGACGAGGCAACTGTGTTAATTAGGAGCACATTCGTTTAGATTTTTGTCCATCTGTATAACGGAATCACGGCGGATCGTTCAATCTCCCGCAGAAGGGAAACAATGCTACCCATTGAAGAGGAGAAGGTAGAAGAGAACGAAGGATCGGTTCGCACGATCCTAAACTACCGGCTCGACGACGATTCACCCATTCGAAATCGTTACACATTCCTTCTTTCCCGCAAATGACATTCGGTTTTGCCTTTTTCTTTTTTTTTTTTTTGCGTCGATCAGCGAAATCAGCATCGAGATGAAAAATGTGCGAAACGCTTTCTACAAGCAGAAAGACTTTCTAAAAGGCAACGGCGTTTAGAGTTATAAATTGCGACGCAGTTACGCGCTCAGTTGTTGTCCTGCTCGCCGGATGTCGTCGTTAATTCGAATTAAAAAGCAGAAAAAGAGAGAGAGAGAGAGAAGTAGGGAGAAGGTGCGAGCGAGAGATAGAGATAGAGAGTGAAGAAAAAACTTGCGGTTTTACATAATTTCACTGGCTTAGCGCATGCGAAGTTAGCGAACACCGTTTGGCAACGTTGGTCTGCAATTTCCTCGATCCACTGTGCTCGACCACGTAAGTGACAAGCACACGTGACGCGTGTTATGATCCCGCAGCCACATAATTCCGGCTTGTCGTAATTTCAATAGAATTAATTACAGCACCTGCGCGAACTTCAACGCGCACAACCGATCACAGACCACCGACCGATACCGACGACGATCCTCTCCAACCTACAATTTATATTCCAACATTACACGTAACAGCTTTCGATAAGATTAACGAGCGAAGAAGGTTCGTTCATTTGTGGATAAAACCGTCTGGTATCAAACGCGGAAAAACACGTTCGTGCAACGTGAAATAACGTTAACACGCACACACAGACACAGGTGTGTTGTCAAACCGATGGACACAACGAGAAGAACAGTTGGTAAGAGCAAAGCGAATGGGGGGAAAACGCGCAATCTGCATATACGCGCGACCCGTTAGCGCATCTTCGCTTGCGTAACCACGATCTTCGGACACACACCGAATTCAACACGCGAGTTTGCAACTGGGCACGAACACGCTGCCACACTACGTCTCTCCTCTTTACGTCGTACGTATTTCGTGTACGGAATAATGCAAGCGTGTAAACGGATAGAGAAGCGAGAAGAATGTAGAGAGAAACACGCGAAAATATCGAGAATATAGCCGAATAGAAACACACTCACGATCCACCTCAACGTTCCTCTTCACGCCTCTTTGGCCGCTTCATAATTCGATTCGACGCCACTTTCCCTGGTCGCCACAAAAACACACACTCGCACACATACACAGGCTCGTCGGTCGGATAATCCGCAACTAGAGGACTATTAATAAAGCCGACTTTCCGTGCACTACTGAGTCACGGCACGAGGAGGATTCACCCCGTTCCAGTAATTCGTAAGTACGACGCATTTGCCACGCGATTAACACTCGACGCGGGGGTAAAACCGTGTGCGACGACGGTGGTAGCGGCATACACGCTAATCGACGTCCCGAGGATGAACGAAAATTTCTTCCCAACCGCACGGAAACGCGGGAAAGTTTTCTCAACTCATATCGAAGTGAAAAAAAAAAGGAAAAACTGAATATATAGAGGAACCGCGGATCGATAGAGACACTAGGCACGATCGCAATTCGCCCGCCGCGTGTACGACAATGAAACGTTCCGGATTCGCTCGGTGATCCCCTGTTACTACCTATGCCACCACCGAGCATCCGCACATCAACGATACAGACACGCATACACATATACAGAGAGAGAGAGAGAGAGAGAGAACGGATAGTAGATGGTACACACGCGCGTCCTCATGTACACCTTCACCACGCGAGCGGTGCGGACTGACACTCCGCAACAACGATTACTATTCTTCAGAAACACACGGTTTCTGCATTCACCGGCCCGTGAATCCGTATACGCGGCACACACGGTGTGCCTACGTCGTATACACCACGAGGACTGTACAGTGAGCGTCATCAACGTCAGGGGAACAAGGCTGCGTTCAACTTACGAGGTTGACTACGCTTTTTTCTCTCTCTTTCTCTCTCTTTTCCTCATCTTTTCTACCGTCGTAATTAGCGGTACGCGCGGTTCTCTCATAGAATTGATTGTGTATTATTCGCTTGGTAAAGGGGACTCTGTTCTCTTGATCGATTATACAGTACGGATGTAGAAAGTGGAAAATCATCGTATATATATACATATACATATATGTATATCGTCGTACCATACAGATATCGAGGTAACTTTAGACGGTTTTATCGTTTCAAATGGATACCAAAGTACACCGAAAAGTAGGGATAGATGGAACGCTAGATAAACATGAAAGAGACAACTTTCACCGGCTATTATCGACTGTATGCACGATAATATGAAATCAACGATCGGCTGATAATATTGGCAAGCTGAGTCACGTGTTGTATATACGACGCGTAAATCGTCAATTTAAAGAGAAACATTGTAATAGGGGAGAAAAAGAAAAGAAAGAAAAAAACGCTTGGAATCGGTAACGCAGTTAGCAATGCCTTGGGTTTCACGGGATACACTATGACGCGACAGACACACACACGCATACACACAGAGATACATCGTACGTTTAGAGAGCCATGGTCGAAAATACACCCGGCGATTGTTCGGAATTAATTCGAACACATGAGACGTGTTTCGCAAGCCTGGAATTTCACGGTGCTCTATAATACAAGTGTTTTACGCGTCGTCGAACGATCCCTTTGTGTCTGACATGTTTATCGATTTTAGGATCGAATTCGTTCCTATAGCTACTTATACGACCGGTCCTCGTCGACCTTTATACGTCAGACCTGTATACATCCATTCCTACTTCCCGCCGCGTAAAAATCCCCGTGGACCTTGAAAGGCCTCTCCCTAGCCTCGACATGCCGACTGGCCAAGTCGGTACATTTTCATGCAATGCCGCATATACGCGTGAAACACACTGTGTGTGAACCGAGAGGGATCGTCTTTTTTTTCTTCTTTTTTTTTTACAGTGTTAAACAGTGGTGTATCGCAAGTTACGCTATATCTTTCGGTTACATCACACACACACACACACACACACAACACGCGCGCGTACGTACATAAGTACTTTACAAGAGCGGTGAATTGTGACAAAATATCAACTAAACGACACCGTCACTTTTACGATGATTCATAATTACAGGTCAGTCGGGTTATTTATGTCGTAAATGTGCCTTTCATATAAAACCGTTCCGTGCGCAATTAACAATTATCGTACGCGTTACCTGTCGCACCTTTATGACGCGTGGAAAATTCGAAATTACAGGTGAAACGGTCGGAAAAAGGATATAAGAAATAGCTTTCATGATCATTATCGGTTCAGCTACCCTCGATATCATCTAATAACGTTCGCTCTTCTAGACAGAAATATAATACAGTTGACCGCAATTCACTGTGTTTTCGTGCCAACTAATGTATATATATATATATAATGTATATATATATAGAGAGAGAGAGATGTATATACATATGCCTATTCGAACACGTTAAACTTGTCTAACAAATTCGTGGACACGGTAGGTAATAGTAGAGGCGAGATCGTGCGATTTCTCGTTCGAACGCGTCGCGATACAATTCCCTAATTTGCAGTCGGCTCACGGTGGAAAAAGTCTATTTGCACACGTACCGGTTCGTATAAACGAGCACGTCTCCAAAGGACCGTTAAACACGGTGAAAATTTTATGAAGAAAGCACCTCGCCGTATAATGGGTCAGTCAGTAAAACGCCGCTTTTACAACCAGTTCGCGTGTCTCTTTTCTCTTCTGTCCATACATCTGACGTGTTCGGTGATTGTTACATGACGTTTAACGATCAACGCAGTCGATTATCGCATAGGCGTTTAATCTGTAATTGAATCGATTGATGATTTTTCACGTGTATCACGTGTTTGTAACACCGTAAACAGAGATCGGTGAAAGAAGATTTACTAAATTTCCTTCGAATCTTTCCCGCTACATTTATTTATCAGCATTCTAAAGTATTTACGTTGAACTTAAAAAAAGAAAAACAAAAAAAATATCATTTTCGTTCGTTCAACGAACGTTCGTGATATTTTTTGAACGGGAGAATATTTTCAAAACCGAACACACTGTGCGAATGAAAAAAGCCGACGTGTGTTGACCATACGAAGCACGTATACCACTGTGTTCATCGATCACAAAAACTCATGACATAGCTGATACGAATGACCGTGTATTGCACAAACGTGACACGTATGATATTCCGCATTGTGTCGGGACCGAGAGAGTCCGCGAACAAGGGAAAAAGGAGAAGAAAAAGAGAGAAAAAAGAAAAATGGTGGTTTGATTGTACATTGCTAGAGGAACGTCAACCAGTCTAATGGAATTAATGATAATTCTGTGCTTTTCATTTGTAAATGGGTTAGTGCTAAGAAATTTCTTGAATGCACAAGCAAATGTTTATATCAGATCGTCACGGTTTCCGCACTACTGCGAGTAAATAAGTGTTTACGGTTCTTACTATTTTGTACTTGACTGACAATGAAACTCCTTTTCTACAATTACGCCACCACGTAAATTGCGCTTAGACGCAAATACACATGCATATAAAGCGGAACTCTCCTATCTATTGATAAATTAGTATCTCTTAATTGAATAGAATTAGAAACCATTAATCCCACGTGTATCCTAAGTACGTGTGTATTTATAAATTCACTGCACTTCAGAGAGATATGTACCGAGTGGTTCGTATGGTAAAAGATCCATCGGTTGAGAATAACAAGTCTTATTCGCGATACTAAGAATTTCTTAATTGAAATAATATTATTATTCAGTTGAATTCTGTAAATACTTCAGTTGCTATTTTCTACAGTAATAACCGGTACATCATCTCGTACTCCGCAAAGCAATGTCGACTATGTGCCGCAGTCCGGCTGATCATGACGGCGCCAAACTACTTTTTCTGCCGAGATAGACCACGACTACTGTCCACATAGCCGATACATTTAAAAATCGTACACCGAGAGATATTTGAAATGAGGAAAAAAGAAAAACTACGAACACGATGCAAACACTTGGTCGCGTTTCAAAATCATTCAATCGTATCCAGTCTGTCATCCTTAAGAGAAATGATCTGTTCCTAGGAATCAGCAACAGTTGTTGACAGAGTAGCCAATAGTCACGTTCTTCCCGCAAAATGTCGAGTAACGATCAATAAAAGTAAACTAAAACGTACACGATCGTATAGAACAAACAATGCGTTACATTTCATTGCCACGATATATATTGTTAATCCTTTATTTTGATCAGAAGAACTCACCTTGGCCATCGTGTCGTGGGTGGGTCCTAAAGACTCGTCGAATCCGAAAAATTGTGGTTCCGGGTTCGGATGTTGCGGCTGTTCCAGTTCCTTGACATAAGTCGCGTTCTGCAAAACAGCAATATATGCAACGGTCGCATTCCCAATCGTTTTTTTTACCACGCGACGCTCCTTTTCGATCGCACCCGTGTACAAGTTTCGTGGCCGACACGTCGATTGCTTGCGGATGCCTTCACGCAGCGACGCTCCCGACGTCGGCGTCGCCGAGAACGACGTTATTGATCGGCGCCGTACGGAGGCGTCGCTACCCGCCGTACGGAGAAGGGGGTGGAATTGCCGGTGACGGAGATAGTGCTCGAGGTGGCGGTGGTGGAGATGGAAATGACAACTGAAGCGCCACCGCCGAAAATCATTCCGCGAATGTCGCCGAACTCTCCTCCAACTCTCTCTCGCTCACTTTCTCTCTCTTTCTCCCTTCCCCTGTCTCTTTCTCGAACTAGGGTGGATACGTCTTTGGGAAAACAGACAATTCTATCTACCATATGTTATACGTATGATAATTATGGAGAGGAAACAAAGAAGATGTAGTTGCACAGAATTGTTAATCATCCGACAATGTCGACTCTGTTAACATATCATTAACATCCTCGTAAAGTTACCCCCCACTCGTTGGCCACTATTCATGACATGAGTATGATTGCCAGAGTAACTGTTTGCCCACTGTTGTGATACATCTTTTTTAGAAACGCGTCGTTACAAGGCATCCGTGAAAACAATCGCGTGTCGTTCGATGTAAAACTTGATTTACAGATTTACAATACGATAACGAACTTACCACATCCATATTGGTTATCTTTATCTGTCCCCTAATCTTCCAAATAATTCAGCTTACATTTTATGGTATAAACATTGAATATCTGAGTCAGTCATTCTCGACCGAATAATGTTTCTCTGCACATCGGTTTTCATGACTTGACACATTCTGATTTCAAACACAATACCTACACTTAACGGCATACAAAACTAGCGTGCCAGCATTGGAATGGGAAAAGTCGAAACAATATCCGTTAATAGTTTCAAATCATCATTTGTAGGAAAAATAGCGAATCCCATTAAATTCTCTTTACAAATAGACCAATCACTTTCGAGTACGCGTTAACCAATAGTAATACTGGCACAACATTCCCGCCCTTTCTTTTGTCATTTAAATTTTAAGTACACTTAAACTTAATCGATCGTCGATTGTAATTGTCGTTTATCGTTGTTTTCGTTCAAATAATGCTAAAGCAAGTAACAATATAAAACCACAAAAGAATTTTTTGGAAATAATCCGGGGATATTACGAGTTATGTTGATCGATCGTTGGATGAATAAAACTATAGTGTTTTCGTTGCACATAGATACACAGATAGGAAATATTTTTTATTTATACTCGGTAACTGCACAACACAGTGATTACCAGAAATGCAGATACAGTAGCACAAATGAAGATGTTTCTTTACGTGATCGAACGAAGGCCGGTCGTTTTGTTTTCGAAAGACAGACACAGAAGAGTACATTTTATGATAATATTCTAAGATGTACGAAGTCCCTCTTGTAGAATTTCATAATCTTAATAACGATAGCAGAACTGTACGATATCGTAATTTTAACCATTACAACAAATCTATACCAAGCTGTTGTACCATAGATCATATTCACATTGTTACATGTGCGAACAATAAACATCTTTGATGGATAAGGAAATTAATATACTCTTTCAATATATTTTTCTATATCTGATTGAATTCTTCTATTGGCGATCTTTACAATTTCACAACAGAACGCATACGATATCGTATTTTTGATCATGATAGACAGCTACGCTTTTCATCATCATCGTCATTGTCGTCGTTGACTAAAACAATATACAATGATATCGACATCCCAAAATACGTAAAGTAATTATTGAAGGGTAGGCCTGTAGCTCTAAATGATAAATGTGGAATGGATTCTGCAGATGTTTTTCTTTTTACAGCTAAAAGAATTTATTTACACTGACTGACATCTAGAGTAATCACGAGTCTCTTTCCAAATCACCAATCACAAGAGTTCGTTTATATACATTTGTTTATACGTACATATTTTCTTTTTTTGTAAAACTATTATATTTTTAAATACATTTTTTATATCTAGGAGTCGTCGCTATAAGCAGAAATGTGATTTCGTACATGACGTAACACATTCAAAATATTTAAGCGTTATTTGGCAAATAATGCACTCGATTCGTTACACATTATAGTAAACTTTCATTTCGTACTTTCACAATATACATATATCTGAAATATACTATATAAAAGGCATCCAAGGCACAACTTGGGCGGCACGTACTTAAGCATGTAAATCGTAGAGTAACAGTGCGTTATTGTAATATTTACTAGACTTCTACTCAGTTCTACAAGCAGCAGTAATTAAAAAGCAATATCAGGTGATTTGGAAATGAGATTTGTGATATGCGGTGCATCAATTAACAAAGAAATCAAGAAAGATACCAACAAAAAAGTAAAAGCTCTAAATATAGTCATTACATATGTAACTATTCATACATACATGTTGCAATAAAGCATTGTGCTCGTTACGAATGCAACAAGCTCGATATACCTAAAACATTAGTTCGCATCTCTTTCGATCGGTGTACATTATTTTAAGTCTTTATCAATACCAGTTACAGCGTTGTTTCAGAGAAAAATACTTTGTTCCTTTTTTTCTTTTCTTTTCTTAATTAACCAGATGTTACAGGTGATCTGGAAAAAACGGTAAGTGGTACGATAAGTATTCTTTTAATTGAATACTTTTACTCGTCGTGTAAAAAGATCGTTCTCCTTTTTCTTTTTAATGGGTTATTGTCATATTTTCTTGTAGTTTGTGCTTTCAAATCCAAATACACATCTTCATCTTCATTGATCCAATAAAGCAAATACTTTTCCCATCGTTGATCACCCACACGTAATTTGCTAAATTTGGTAGCAAAGAATCACAGCTAGGTACATCGACAAATAAGTAACAGCAAGCGGCAGTGACTTGTTCCACAGTTCTCAAGTACTCTTAGGTAAAGTTATATGATCCGTATACCTTCTTCATACTTGTAATTGAAATATACGTAGAATATACATAAAAATAATTTGATGAATAATCGTGAGTTTATCAGCAAGCCAGAAGATCATTCGAATATACATCACGTCACAGGTATTGCTGATTGTAACATTAAGTCAAGATTTGTGCTCCTTCAGTAATACCTGTGTATCTTAATGCGAAATTAAGAAGGGAGTCGGTGTATGTAATAAACATCTATATATCACGAAACTAATGTTCTGTTATAAATACGTAAAAAGACACAGTCAAGAGCATTATTTATAATGAACTTTCGATGCATTTTCAATGATTTAATTTTACTTAATCGCAACTAAATATTCTTATGACCTTTCTAGAATATTACCGAATGTATGCGACACATAATTCTCACACCCAGTGTTATAATAATTTTTTTACAAAATTCGTATCTCATTCGTTAAAATATATAAAACAGGCAACATCTTTTGCAACTGTACATTTTCTAAATAAAATTCGTTCCTCTGTTAATAAAACTTATACTTTCTATCGATGATCAACAAAAATAATTTTCGACATGATTCAAATGAAAGGCATCACATACACACGATTTTGGCACTTTTCAGAATTCAAATCATAAAATTTTTATGTCTTGTATCGAATGTAATACCAATTATTTAAATTGCACATAACACCATATAATTAGTATTCTTTTTATATGTACATGAATTTCTGTTAAAGTCTGAAATCCGTGAACATTTCTGAAAAATGCAAAGCTAACATATAATTCTTATATTACTCTCAAATCTGACAAGTAGCAAGTAGATGACTCGAAGTTAGTTGTCACATTAGTTTCTTATAAGGCTACATCCAAAGGCTTACATTACACGAATGTTAGGGAACGTTGCACAAAAAATATTTTTATATGCATTATGAAAGTTAATATTCCAATATGTCATCAGATACAGTTAACTTTCCAATGTCAACGTGAGATCAGCATCTGATGTCTATATTGAAATATTAATTGCATTATCATTAGTAAAATCGAAATTAATTACACTTAGATTATAGTCTTTATAATAATAAATTTGAATAGTCTAAGGCTTGTTTAGGCATAAATCAGATGCTTCAAAAGCATGTGTAGTGTATTCAAAACTGTAAATGTTAAAACATTTTCTGATGTAAACCTGAATCATTTGTCTACATTAACCAGAAATCGTCCTCTGCTTAATTGTGTTCAATTTCTTCTTCCTACTATGATCTTAATACAAGTTTCAGAACAATCTAATGAAGCATTCGTGATATAGCGTTAGGAAATATTTCCATAACAATTTTCCATATAAAATAAAGTATTAGGTGTAATTGAATATATTTGAAAAATATGATTCTTCATATATATGTAAGACATTATATTTTTACTATAATTCTCTCCCTATATATAACAGCCAAAAAATTGTACAGCTTTTATGTGTACATTGTGATCTTCAAAATTTCTTTATTAAGGATCACTCTCAATACTTATTGACTTTTGCAATCCTTTATTTTCATAAGAATTATATTATCAACTTTCTTTATTTTGCTCAAATGAGATAAATCTCATATTTGGACAACATTTTCTCACTTACCACTTTCATTATACTTTCTCGAATCTCTTATTATACCTATACTATTATCGCACTATGTAATATTAAAAACTGCTCTTGAATCATCAGGTTTTTCCTACATTTCACTATTTTTTTCTCCTCGCTATTAAACATGAAGCACAAATTATGATACAGAACTTATAGCATTATGAGGAGAACCCATTTGTGTTAACACTTTATCCAACCACTGTAAAGGTCCATGTAAGTGTGCTTCAATCCAACAGGGAGTGGATGTAACATCTTGTCGATGATACTCAGCACCCCATCCTTTAACAAATGACATTCTGCAACAAATATATATGTAGATAGAGTTATACATTGCCATTTAAATTTCGAAGTATTAATTCTTTAATTACATATAAATTCTACCTTATAGTACACATCTTTGTTAATTCATAGACTGCTTCAAAACCATGATTAACACTTTGTGAAAGTAGTTGTGCAAATTCCTGATTATTAAATATTTTTAATGAACATCCTGGTGGAATCTTACAAACTGTACTAGGATGAAATCCATGATGATGATTACAATTTCTAGATTGCACAAATATAGCAGAATCAGAAAGACATTCTGCATAAACTTCACCACCTACATAATATAGATGTACTCCTTTGCCTATATGTCTTCTTGTATTTTCAATAGTAGAATTACGATTTACATTGGACAGCTGTCCAAGACAAAAACGATCAGAATTGTTGCTTGGATTTGTAAAGCCATCCACAATAACAGAGTGAGAATGACAATGAAAAACTTCACCCACTCTGCAATTTAATTCATAATATGCAATGGAGGCCCAATAAGGTGGTTCCTGATAACATACTGGAGCTACTTCAGCTGATCCACTTGTATCCATTGCTACTGGATCAGGTGGTGGTGATTGTCCAGGTTGTGAACCATCTTCAGGTGGAGAATATGCTGGTGGAGGAGTTTCTGGTAACCCATTGGTACCATATGGACTTTGTGGATTTGGTGATGTTGTACTTCCTGGACTAGGAACAGACCCAACAGAAGACATAGGTGATGTTGGATTTACACCACCAGTAGATCCAGCATTAAATCCACTGGAAGAGTAGGATACATTGTGTGGCATTGTTGGTTCTGCTATTTGTTGAAATGGTAACAATGAATGTCCAGGTGCATATTCTGATTGTCTAGGAACCAGTACTGGTGGTAATACTGGACTTTCCACTCTTTTATAATGGTAAGGATTAATGCAAACTTCTTTTTGTTTTGCAGAGAAGGGGTACTGACATAATTCTAATGGTTTCAATTCATGATGTGATTGCAAATCTGGCCACCTCCATACTCTACAATAAATTACATGTGGTAAACCTTTGCGATGTGATACTTGCAATCTGCCATCTAAACTTCTTGGAATTGTTACACATTTACTAGGTGTGCCTGGGCAACTTAAAGCGCGTTCTAATTCTTCTATTGCACCTTTCCTTTTTTTTAATTTTTTAACTAAAGAGTCAACTGCTTTTTCTGCCCATTTTTCTTCTTCATCACCCTGTTTCCAACCAAGCAGCTTTTTCACAGCAGGACTAGTAAATGAAAATAAACTGTTCAATGAAGACATAGGTCCAGAACTTGATGATCCTTCTTCATCATCCATGTTAAAAATACTGTAATATGTAAGTTATAGCTATGACTTTTTTTTATAGTACTCCTGTTTTGTAACAACCTGTAATTTAACATAATTCATATCAGATTCTCAAGATTAATGATTTTGTAGCACAGTTTCTACAATTTTTCTTTACACAGATGCTTTATCTTCAAAATTACGAAATATTACGAAACTTTTAAAATTTACTTAAGTTATATTTAAAAAGACAGTAATAATTTTGGTTAAGTACAGAAACAAATATTATGTTGAATGTGAGGTTAGACATATCAGAACTCTTATAAACACAACACAAGAAGTACAAAGTAGAGTAATAAAATATTAAATATCATAAATATAAAGAATTCGTATGATAAAAATAAAAAATAACTAACAATGAATTGTATATATACTTACGTAGAATTGCTTAGCGATCCAGCATTGTTTTTACTACAATCTCCCACTCCTGTTACCGCATTCTTGACGCCAACCTCTCGCCATCACAATCAAAATAAAAATATCTATGAATTTATCGATTTTCACCTTAACTTTATCGTATTCTTAATGACAACAATTCTAGGAACACGATAAATATTTAAGTAAATTTTCTTGTAATATAGTGTAGCCACTCGCAGCGTTCATAATCTTCCTCTCTCTTTTCCTCTTTCACTACGATTTTTCTCTGTCTTTCAATCTCTATCTCTTTCACTCCTTTCCGTGGTAGAGTCAGAGTATTTGCAATAAGCAATAATACAGAGAACTTTCAGAATTTCAGGAAGTACTCACAAACTTTCTCACGTACTCACCAAAATCAAACACGTAGAGTGTATTTTAATGTAGAAGAATACTTAGAACAGAACTGATTTTTTTTGTATTTAGCATGCAGTTTTAATTACAAATATTTATCGTAGAAAGAACGAAACGTCGTATAACAGTATTATGGCGTTGCAAGAACATCATGGCGCCTTGTTTATGAAGACAGTTCTATGAGAACTGTACGGCTTTAACAATGCTTTGTGCGTCGTTTACGATTTGTCAAATTCCTCTATTTATTATAATCTTCCGTTGGAAATGAACTTTACTTGTACACTTTATTTCCAATATATAAACATAATTTATGTATACGTTTACGTACAGCAATAATATGCACTCATCGCACTACGCAACGACAATGTATTCAACGATAAGGGCCGATCGTAGATGACTCACTTGAAAAAAATGATACATTAGAAAATATTGCGAAATTTTACTACAATAAACAATTAATTGTCTATATTTTGAAAAATATTTTTTTTTATCCAGCTTTAGTTTAATAAAGTATCGTATATAATAAAATTATTTCATCAATTTCGTATTTCATTAGATCGATTAAAGCAAAAAACAAAACATAAAAATATTTGTACATATATTTATATTTTTATTAACAAACATACTGTTTTGCTAATGCTCTCAAAAATTTTGCCTTTCGAATATTCGCTGCTTCTCTCTGTATTTCTTCATTATTATTGGAATTCAACTCCAATAAACCAATTACTTTAATCTGAAAATATGATTTAACACTAATATACGCAAATTTTTTAAACAAAATTGAAACAGTAATTATATATAATTGCTAACCGCTAATTGTTTCCTATGATGTTCACCGCGTTTTGTGTGTAAGTGAATCAGATACTCAAGTATTGTAGTATCCCAAATACAATGATAATACGCATCCATTGCATCGGCTGGAGCGCAACTTTTTTGGTCACTGGCTGCCATTTTAAATGCCAACGAATAATCTACTTCCTCTAAAAATTGGCATAATACAGCAGCTTGAGTATAACATTGTAAATGAGCACAACATTTAATCATACGTCTATAAACAAGATCGTCGATCTGTGATCTTGGTACCGGTTGACTAAATAGATCACTAGCTACCATGATAGCTTCTAAATAATATTTTATTGCACTTTCATAATAACCTAGAACTAAAAATATTATTTATTATTTTCTTTGATTTCAAAATATCGTAATTCTTTTAATACATACCAAAATTAAGATCTCCCATAAGTCTCAGCCAAGGAACATTACTTGGATAATATTTCAAAGCTTGTATTAATAATTGAAACAATAATTCTCCTATGGTTCTTATGTTATAAGAATTAGCACTGTTAAATTATATTTGTACATTATTGCAAAATAATATATATTTTATGCTATATAGAAACTTACTTTGGTATACCAGCTGGCCAGAGAGAAAGATACTGTGTATGTAATTCAAGGCTAGACTCATCGCGTAAAACATTTCGTAAGCGTGCTAATAGTGAAATAACAACAGTAAGAACCATTGGTTCGCGCAGTCTACTAAGAGTACCTCCAATGCTAGCAATAACATCTCTTGAAGCACTACCAGCATTTGTTCCACTATTACCACTATTACTTCGTTTTTGTGGTTGATCTCTAGTTGGTCCAAAGGCAGTTAAAACTAAAAATACAATTTAATGTTACATAAAAATTTAATGTAAATGTTTTTAAATGGTACATTTAAAACCAACCCATATCCCACGCTTCTCTTGGGAATTTTCTTCCTCCCTTGTACTTAACAATATCTTGACAAACACTGCTGATAGCTGCTGCAAATTCAGAATAACTCCAACGTTTTTCTAGACTTGTTAAATAGTCCCATTCAGCCATATTTAAAAGAAAGACAATGCAATATTCAATAATTTCTTGTCGTGGAATAACTTGATCTGTTGCTTGTAATGCTCCAAGACACTGCTTACACCTCGTGACTAAACTTTGTGTATCACCTACAGAAGTTTCATTCTTTTGGCTACTTTGATCATAATAAATTATAAAATCCAATATGCTTACATATATTTGTTGCTGGCCAAACATGAAGGCACCGCCAAATTTCAACAAGAAGGCATTCCCAATCTATTAATTTACACAATTTAAATATTAACGTGTTACCACTTTGTGAATGTTGCTGTGCTTCTTTTTCTAATACATTTAAAATTTCGATTGCTCCTTCAAAGTCCTTAGACATTACTAATTCCCGACTTTTCGCTAGTAATACATATGAGTAATCTTGAAGGAAGCCTCTAGGAAGAGACATTACAACACTTTGTAATGGAATGGGTAATTCCCAACAACTATTTACATGCCATAAAGGTTTCATTCGATGTTTACCATCTAAATGTATCAATATTTCGTGAATTTCATTAGTAGCATATGACTGTATTAATTTTTGCTCTAATTCAAATATTTCTATTCTTGAACTTTCTGTAATTTAAAAAATTCATTAAGTAATGTTTAAGTATTAATTAATATGTACTGTATATAATTATGTACTAACGGGTATATGTTACTAATGGGATACCCCAATCATTTTTTAACAATAAGTCTGGTAACTCTAGTTTCTCAATATCGACTGATTTTCTAATTTCTTCCAATTCTTTCTCATCAAATAATGCTACGTACAGTGGATCGCTCAGGATTTTGGAAGCAAGTTCATCAATATTACTTGTATGTATAAGATAAAGAAGATAACGGGAAATGCGTTTTTTATCTATATCAGTTGCTTTTTCTAAAACACTTCCAAGAGCCTAAAACAATTTTTATATAATATGAAAAATAGAATAATAAAAGATATAAACAATTTATGACGAAATAAAAATTATTTTACCCAAAAAAATACATCAATTCCTTTGCTACCAGCTATTCGTATTTCTGTCACATAATCACCCAGAATAATGTCACTATCCAATATCTTTCTAACTAAATTTAAACACTGAATTTGAAGCAAAAGATCGCGGGCTACTACTATTTTTCTATTAACTGATCCTCCTTGTACATCAAGTTCCAAATTATTTCTATAAACTAAAGGAATTTCTCTTGTAATATTATCTGCTTGTAAAATTTGTAATATATTCTGAAATAAATAGCTATGATTAATACCTTATATATAAATCTATTTTTTTAATCATATTTAAGAATACACACAGTATACTGATCTTTAATCGAGGCCTGCAATTGCTGAGTGAGACTACAAGAAACTGCTTCTATAGGTACTTCACATGCTAAGCAACAGCCATTCAGAAATTCTTTTTGAATTTTACAATACAATTTATCCTCTGAATTACTGAGATTATAAAACAATTCTTTGGCTTGCATAATGTGATGCTTTGCTTCCTGGTATTTTTCTTTCAATAAATGAAACCTTGCTAGATCATAATGTATCTAGAAATGTTAAAATAATCAACAACACAAATTATATTATATATTAATAATAATTATTAAAACTGTACCATACCTGACATTTAAATTCCTCTAAATTTATAGGATACATATTTTCCCAATTTTGTTTAATCTCTGTGCTATCTTCACTCAACATTTGGAAAGTATCAAAGGATAACATTTTTGGACTTATGTCTTTACTTTCAAGCACATTATTTAAAACATTTACACTATTAATCACTTGGGCTTCTAATTTTCTCATTATATCGTCTATTATACTAGGTGGTACATATGTTGATTCTTGAATACCTGGACTAATACATATAATAAATTCTTTTTAAAAAGAAGTCATAGAAGAGGTATTCTAATTAACTATGCAAATATTTAATATCTTACATATGAAGAAATTGTTGCTTCAATTGTTTATTATTTAAAGCTCTATAAATAATTGCCCTTATGTGCCACCTATGATACAGAACAAGTGCAAATAACACTTGGTCAGAAATTGGATGCATTGTAAATTCAGGTACGGCTGGTATTTCAACAGTTAAGTTTGAGGTTATATACAAAAGATCTTGTAATAGTGTCAACTGTATAGGCACAGGTAATTTTCTTTCCAATATATCTAAATCCCATTTTAAATGTGCTGCTACTTTTAAAGAAAGTATTTTCAAAGCAAGATTTCTGTGACTCCATTTACTTGTAGTATTAGGTTTTACATCATTTGATTCTGTGTCAACAATTTTCACTTCATTTTCTTTTTGTTCTGAATTTATTGTCATAAATTTGATTATTAAATCTGTTGCTGAAGGATCTAAAATATGATTAACATAATAATTTTATTTATCATTTTACACTATTTATATTAAATATTTAAGTTGAGGTTAGGTTGTTATTTACCGGGAAAAGATTTAGATAAATGTTGTTTTAATAAAGATGGATTTAATAAAAATTCAAACCAAAGAATTGTGTCGGGAGATATCGGTACAGTGCCTGGTCTTAGTAAATCCACATCCATCATTGCATCGTTTCTAACTTTACAACATTCAAGGCTAGAAAAGCTGTAATTCTCATCATCTAGCTTTTAAAACATATAAAGTTTCGAAATAATAATCTTAGATGTCGCTGAAATACACTTCAGTTGTTCGTGGAAAGACATACAGATGTCACGTGTAAATGGCGCGTCGTTCTAAGAAAAGTTTGATCAATTACAAACGCATTACTCAATTTTTCACCTTCACATTAATTGTTTGACAAACTTTTACAATCATGGTAAGGTTAACTGCCGAATACATTGAAAAGAAGTGTTCTCAAATACAATTAAGCAAATCTCTAAGCAAAAAAATAAAAAAAGACCAATTATATAATATAACTCATTTACGTATGAACAATATGTTTATCAGCAGTATCGTAAGTTATTTTTATTAAAAGATAACAACAATTTGGTATGATGTTCATACATAATCGTGTTATTATAGGGTAATTGTGTTAATTACAAAAATCTTAAAGTAATATATTTACAAAATAATAATATTGCGACGATAGAAAATTTACACTTTGCATCGAACTTAACACATCTATATCTTCAGCATAACGTAATAAATAAAATAGAGAATTTAGATTTTTTAGAAAATTTACATACGCTCTATTTAGGATATAATAAAATACCGGTAGTAGAGGGTCTTGAACGTTTAAAAAATTTAACTATTTTACAAATAGAAAATCAAAAGCTACCTATTGGAGAGTCATTGTGTTTTGATCCACGAAGTATACTCACTTTATCTGTAAGTTTAAGTTTTTCTTATTTTATATACAACTGTGTTTTTTAAAATGATTCTTCCTTTCAGAAATGTTTGAAAGTACTTAACATTTCGGGTAATAAAATAATATCCTTAAAAAGTATTAGAGAATTAAATAAATTAGAAGTTTTAGACGCTGAGGACAATTTTATCGAGGACATAAACGATCTAACAGAAAGCATAAATGTTTTGACTTCTTTAACAGACTTATCTTTGCAAGGCAATCCTGTAACTCAGTGTTATAGATACAAAGAAAATATTATTGCCAATAATGATACAATAAGTATGTTGATCTGTAGACCCCTTCTCAACATTTACATTTTACTCTAAAAACTATTAATTTATAGAAACAATTGATCGAAAAACAGTGACGGATGTATGTAGATGTTTCATGAAAAGGTTTAAGATAAAAAAGCATCTTTACCATACCAAAAAATCATTAAGCACCACATTAGATGAAGATATAGCAAGTATGACTATAGATAATGTTTATATAACATAAACAATTTTCCAGTATTCAGTATTTTTTAGAAATTTTACGTATTGCAGGTTCATTAAATTTACCACCTGCATTTAAAAAATCAATATCCAGAGCAATATTTCAACATCCTAATCCGAAATTTCCCGTCACGATTTCGTCTGTAATTGGTGAAACGCATGTGTTTCCACCATGGAAAATAGGTAAATTAATATAAAATGTTGTTCAAGATTAATATACATATAACTATGATTAATAACGGATCGATTATAATTTAGCACCAGGCGCAAATGCTTTAAGAAATGGTCATTTTGCCCCGAGACCATTCTGGAGTAATATAATTAGAACCAAACAACCTCGTAATATACGGTCTTTGTTAAGCACTAAAGCTATTAAATTACCACCTATTTGAATCATTTATCAACATATTACTGACGTGGTGTGGTTACATGTATGTATGCAAAAAAATAAGTTCTTTCAATTAGAGGTATTCTTCTTGTTTATTAATACTTTTTTTTAGAAAATTATTTATAATTCATTGTATATTTTTCATTTGCCTTTAATTCTTTGATAATATACGTATTATATTAAATAATTTCTATATAAACCATTAATTATTGCCTGCATGCTGGAAAGTCGTGTATGAGATAAAAATAAAATCTATGATCAAATTGCGCTGAAATAAAATGTATGGCAAAATATCGTAAAAAGCTGGCGGCAAACTAATTACAATTATTTTATACAACTTTCTAGCACTAAGGCGACATTTATATTATATGTGCATTAACATAACATTTTCATAGCTAAAATAAAGTACATTGAACTCATGCGTGTGAAACAATAATTCAATATAAATATAACAAAACGTGCATAGTTAAACAGTTACGACGTTCTTACACATAAAATACTATCATATAATTATTTCATAGAATTATAATATTAAGTATATATTATAATTGTTGTTATCACTAAATGAACCACAGAAGTAGTAAAGTACAAAATACTATTAACTACATTTGTACACTGCTTGAAGATTCATATCTTATCTTTAAAGCTTAACTTCGTTTGTTAACTGAAACACAAAAAGCATATGAACCGGATGTAATAATGAATCTGTTGTTTGTGTCCTGCATACAGGCATTTATGATACATACTTGTTAGTCACTATAAGCATGGAATGTTAGATACAATAAAAACAAATATATAAATTATAGAATTACATGGTATAAAAGGTACAAGTAGAAAATCAACTTCTTCTTTATCGTAACTTTACTGCCTTTTATAATATCGAAACATAAAAATCAATCTACGAAATCTCTTAAATTGCTCATAAATAAAAAACGAACTAATAAAATGGTTGAGCATATTTGAAATATGAACTAACACTATGAAATAAAATGAGATTAATGAATTGATATATTTTGTAACATTCGAACAATTCATTAGCTGCCAGCGTATAACAAAATGTAACATACAAGACAAAATGCAGCTCGCACGTAGATGGTCAATGATTATCCTTTGTTCTACAGAAATTTTTATATAAAATGATCTAATACAATAGAAGAATACTGACTGGTACTGTAACTTTAAAAGAATATTCAATCTTCAGGAAAAGATATAACAAATGTAAATGGCTAGAAAACTAATCTTATCACATATGATGTAAAAGTAGAAAAGTAAAAAAGGTTTATTTATCATTAACACGTGAACATATTAATTAGTATCATAAAATAAATGCTTTGTGCAAAATGCAAGCGTAATGTACATTAATATTTTTTTAAACAACACTTGAAAGAACAAAGGTATAAACAAGCCTCCTACAGTGTGATATGCATATTTTAATGATGCTTCATAATTGCCGCATGTACAATATACATACTATTCATACATAAATATATGAAGCAGCGGTATGTTTTAATATTTATAAC